AGACACAGGTCACTGTGTCCACCATTTTATGTGGGTGTAGAAACCTGAACTCAGGTTCCCATGCCTGTTCAGCAGCACTTTGTCCACTATCTTTCCAGCACCCCAACTGGTAGCTGATGACATCATGCAGTTACACAAGCTAGAAACTGGACCACACTGGATGCCCCTCACTGGTCCCCACTCCTAAACAGCCAGGCTGCTGAGAGACCCTGGCTATGCATCAAAATGCCCCAGAAACTGTGGCATGTGGAACAAGGTGTCAACAGATAGAACACTAGGGATTTCTGCCCAGAAATGACAGATGTTTCTCACCACTGCTAAAGAACTCTCTAGGCTCCAATAAACACACGTTAGAAGATGAGTAACAAGGATTTCACTCTTCACAAGTACGAACAAGCATAGGAGAGCCTTTTCTCTCCCACCCTTCACGGACTAGTAAAATAAATGCTTCTAAATAAGGGAGAAGTGTTGGCCCTGCCATCCAAAAGTGAGGGTGAATGGAAACACACCTCCCAGGTTCTCTGGCTTTATGAGACTCACCAAGAGAAGTGTCAGTACATAGATGAGAAGCTTATGCTGGAGTCAGAAAATGAGGGTTGCACTCACAGCTATGCCATCAACAAACGAGCAGTGCTGAACACACACTGCCTAATGTCTCCCAGTCTGGGCTTCTACATAAAAAATGGCGGCAACGCCTGATCCTCACAAAATGCAGGTTTGCAGAAAGAAGGCTGGCTTACAAATCAGCAGCCCTTTAGCTCCAGCCCCACCCAGCTCAGCTATCTACTAGAAGACCACACGGAGACAACTTACCCAGTTCCTCCAAGCATTTTTTTTCTTCCCTGGGAGTGAGCATCATTTATCCTTCAATCTCAGGCTGGTTTTGAAGGCACAGTTCAGATTAAAACAAACCTAGTGCAGTTAAGCAAGCATACAAATGCAAACTTACTATCACAGCAATGTGAAACTTTGTCTACACTTGCTCAGATTAAAAAAATTCCAGGCCAACTGTTTAAAGAATTAAGCCTGTTTCTTTGCCTGCTGAAGGAGACCAAATATAGCAGAGTTCAATTCTAGGCTTGCTACTCACTGACCAATCTAGATGCTTGCATCGCTCCAGCCCTCTGATGTGATTCTGTTTGGGTGCTGGAAACTGCACCCATTCTCAGTCACAATGATGGATGCTATGTATGAGGTCCAAGGCAATCTGGATAATCCCAGCTGCTACCATGGTAACTGCTTCAGGAAGCAGTTAGTGTTGAAAGTGTGTTTCAATGGCTGTATGGACAGTCACTCTTCACACTTGGATCAATGAGGCATGTAGCCCTGGGAGTTACTGGCAGACATTTATATATCAAAGCAGAGTGGAGCCAGAGGCAGGAAAATGGAAGAAAATGAGCCACTTCTTTGATGACATCATGATGCTCTGTATTCAACTGTATCCCAAACTAGTATCTCCTGTTTAGTTTTATTAGGTGAGGCAATACAATTTCTTGATAGAGTGAGCCTCTCTGTTCTTACTAGACAAATTTGTTCCTTATCTTGTACGAGAGTACTCCAAACAAGTTTTCATTACCCCTCTGAACTTCGGTTTCTTGATCTACAATGGAAATGGGGTGGGGGTGTGATATTCATCTATCCTATATGAGATTGCTGTGAAGTCCAATAGTGCTTTTAGTGAGCATCATAAAAGTGGTGTGAATTTTCTCATGCTCAGTGCTTGGGACTATGCTGAATGCGTTATGTGCACCTCTTACTGAGTAACTGAATCAGAGTGTGAGGGTTTGTTGTGCTCATTTTAAAATTAAGATATGAGGGCACAAAAATTTCTTGGGGCCCACAGGTACTTAATGGGTATCAGATGAATTTTTCATAAAGTACAGTTCCTTTTCCTTTAAAAATAATCTTTGAACAAATGATTTGTATTGATCATATAATAGAAATAAAATGTTAACCGAATGTCTATAATGTGCCAAGCACCCCTAGGTTTAAGCATATAGTGACAAATACATACATTTGGATTATAGAAGAACTTAGATTAAGTTTGTACCTTGGATCTATTGTTGTCATTAGCTTAACAACTGAGCTAACTGCCCACCATCTGCATGCTATAGTCACAGGAAGAGCATAGACAGTAACAGGAAAAGTCATACAATGGGAAACACATAACATTAAAGAACATTAATGTATCTTACCATCAACCCCAAAGAGAATCCAGAACATCCTGAGGTGAAATCAAATGTTTCTAAATTGGATTCCTGTGGTGATATATTATTTATGATTTATTAAAGTGTGCCTGAAGATTCAGAAAAGCAAAGGCAGCCTCAAGCTATAGAGATCAGACAGTGGGGACACACACCTTTAATCCCAGCAGCTGGAAGCTAGGAGGTGGTGGGACACACCTTTAGTCCTAGGACTCCGGTTTAAGAGTCCAAGGCCACCCAGATCTACACAAGAATGAATCGGTCTATAAGAGAATTATAGCTCACACCTTTAATCCCAACATTATGGAAGTATATAAGACAAAAGCAAGGTCTCAGAGAGGCATTTCTGTTCTCCAGCCACACTGAGAGACAGCAGTTTGACACTCGTGCATGGATGACTCCTTTCAGCCTGAGCTAGAGGTGAGAACTGGTGGCCAGGTTCTTTGCTTTCCTATATTCAGCTTGAAGATTGAACCCCAGTATCAGCCTCTGGGTTATTTATGCATGTTAGAGATTCCACAGTTAAAAACTTTCATATCAACTAAGAGATGTCTTTAATGTATCCATGCTCTTTCTGACAGTGTCAACTTGTATACAGTTTCTAAGAAGGCTGAACAGTATAATTAGCTTGGCCAGAGGGACAGAAGAAAAAAGAAGACCAGACACTGCAGTACACTATTTTCTTAGGAACTATCTAGGGAAGTCAAATGGTGTGTTTCACTGTTTACCTGTGGGTGACATTCTCCAAATGTCTTTACATGTGGAGTGTCTCTTACAAAACTGCAGTCACCAGTAGCATAAAGGATGGCAACATGGGTAATAGCCACTGAGAAATTCTCCTTACAACTGCTGTTTTGTGTGCAGATCAAGAAATACTATATAAACAAGACATAACAAGACCAGAAAAACATAAATAGGTTGAAACTTGTCTTCATGACAACTAGACATTTTGTCTAAGTATCAGGATACAACCCAAGTGAGATTTCACAAGCTTTGGGGATGGGGGAACCTGTCTCCCGCTCTCCCTAACCCCAAGTTTATATCGTGAAGATTGACAAAAGGACCTAAGAAGATGTAGAAAACCATCCTGTAGATGATACAGTGGTTTTATGCTTGTATACTTCTCCGATGTTATACTTGTATGATGTTCGCCTACATTGAAGCAAATAGATGATAGAGAATGCAATTTGTTCGTTGTCTTTTTATAGCTTTGTCTTTGGTGTGTGAGAGTTGCGCAAATGAAAAACTGGTTACCAGAGATATAATTTTGTTCTTTCTAGGTAGGAGATATTGGGCACATAATTAAGCCTATCCAAGGCCATTTATAAACATAAAATGAAAATAAAACTTACCCCATATGATTGTGTAATAACTGAAATAAAAAGGGCTCTTCTCTGGAGCTAGAGAGATGTCTCCATAGTTACGATCACTTCGTGCTCCTTCAGAGGACCCAGGTTCAGTTCTTGGAACCTGCCAGGTGCAGTGCTAGGGTCTGACACCCTGTCTGCCTCCTTGGCATCATAGGCATCTACATATACTCACAATTCATATGCTTAAGTAAAAATAAAACAAATCTTTTGGTTTTTGTTTGTTTTGGTTTGGTTTCGTTTTATGGGTTTTTTTTGAGACAGAGTTTCCCTGTATTGCTTTGGAACTTGTCCTGGAACTAGCTCTGTAGACCAGGCTGACCTCAAACTCACAGAGAAATAGTCTGAGTGTCACACTGAGCGAAGCTTGAGCAAAAGAGACCTCAAAGCCTGCCCCCACGGTGACACACTTCCTCCAACAAGGCCACACCCCCTATAGTGCCACTCCCTTTGGAAGCCATTTTCTCTTAAACCACCACATAAAATAGATAGTCTGCTGGAGAATTAAAAGTGAAAAAAAAATTATTTTTATGAGTAACTGATATATAGGAGCTGAGCCCTTAAAAAGGTTTGTTTTATTTCTGAGGCAGTGATGGTACACACCTTTAATTCCAGCATTCAGAAAGCAAAGGCAGGAGGATCTCTGCCTTTGAGGCTAGCCTGGTCTACAGAGAGAGCTCCAGGAGAGCCAGGACTATTTCACAGAAAAACCTGTCTCAAAGAAAACAAAAAGAAAAAGAAAAAAAAAAAAAAAAAAAGAGTTTGCCATGGTCATGGTTTCTCTTCACAGCAGTAGAAACCTTGAGGCAAAGTGTTTCCAAGAAAAACATCCCTCCAAAAGATAAAACCTAAGGCTTGACCAATTTGAGAGCATAAATAAAACTGCCTAATGAGCTCATGTTTTAAAATTTACTCTCATTCCTTCACAGTATGGTCATCGACTTCTGACATCACTGGGGATGTTCCTGGAGCACCTTCCCCCATGTCCTTCCACAGCACCTGGCCATCAGCCAGCAAAAAGAATGAGGGCCCCATTCTCCCCCAGGTACTTCCCTCAGTGAGAACACACACGGGCATCCTCTGGGATCCTTCAAATCCCCATAACGTCACTGCATGAAGACCAGCCTCCCCTGTACTGTACTGCTCACTCTGTTACCTGAACCTCAAGCAGTACCTTCTGTGTCTCTGAATAGGAATGGCTTCTAACATCTACTTGGGGACAGTTTCCTTGAGAGTTCTTCTTTTTCCACTCACCCCCATACTCCATTGCAGACCATCACCTCCAGAGCGTCAGTTACCCATTTTATAACCACCCAGACTCCTAACCCACTTTAGGCTGAGCAGGAAGTTCTTTGTAAAAATCACCACACTCAGGGTATGCATCCACGAGAGGCCTGACTTCTAAATTTATAGCAAGTAATGATGACAGTGAGATGTACAATATAAATTTATTCTAAGACATTTTCTTCATTGTCTTTTAAAATAGATTAAAATGTATCAATATTTCATGAAAGATACGAATCTAGAAAAATTCAGACATCCGTAATACACATGACTTGACCTTGAGTATCCCTTTTTGTTCATTTAAAACACTATGTTTACGAGTCGCATAATAAGGATGAAGATGACTGTATTCTTCATAGCCCATCTTCATAGCCCAAGTCTCACACATTTCGGTTCAACTTGTAGTTCCCTTCTCAACTATGTACGTCAGTGGTATCTGTTCCTGCTTCTGAATGGGGAGAGCTTCTGTCTTCTGTTTCCTAACGGTGATGTTTGGGTCCTCTTTCTCTGAGACCTCAAGAAAACGCTTCACGGTAAGCTTGAACAGCAGCCGAGGGTCTGGTCCTGAGAGCGGTGGACAATTACAGACCTCCCGAAGTTTGAGAGCCTACAAAGAAGAATACAATGCAGTTCCTCACACCATCTGCACAGGACAGCCAATAGTAAGAGAAAGTGTCTGCGTGCTTACATAGACGTTAACTCAAGTACAACACATGAAGAAGAAGCACAGGTAAGCTCGGGTAAGCTTGTCATCACATCCCATGACCTGATCCAGCAACCCTCATTTTTTAAGTATGTATGACAATAGTCACATGGTGAAGTAACAAGTATCCGAGAGGGGGAAAAAAACAACATAAGAGTTGCTTGCAGCTGTGACCTTCCAGGGTGGAATGGATACTAATGACAGAGAAGGAGCAGAAAATCAAAATCATGACAATTTTTAACTCTAGAGAGAATAAAATGTTGTGGGGAAAGGAAGAGTAATTATAACGCACTGTGTAACTCAGTTGTAACTGATGTTTATGGTTTAAAATACCAAATCTTGAATCAACCCAAATCGCAATTTAATCATTTGGGGAAGAAGAGAACAGCATGCGTATGCTTGTGCTGTGTGACAGTGGAAAAAAGAAAGCTTGATCCGGTTCTCTGCAGTGGAAAATAAATAGAAGGCTTAAAACTGAAACACTGGGAAATGGCAACATAAGCATGCAATTTACATATGCTGGGAAAGCCCAAAACAGCGTGTGACAGTATAGTGAGACTCACTGCCCACACAGAGGGCAGCCTCAGAGGCACATAACCAGCCCCAAGCCACCTAATCCTATAGAGCTCAGAGAGAGAGAGAGAGAAATGAACAGCATGGAATGTTTAAGGGCAGAGGAAAAAACAAACAAACAAACAAAACCTTCTCTGTATACTATAGGCTGGATACACACCACACCACACCACGTGTCCAAACCTACAGACCATATAAAACCATGAATAAACCAGGTGCGGAAGCAAATGCCTATATATGCATTTGTACCACAGGCCCCTTTGAATGGTCTTTCCACTGAGAACATATACCTTGGAAATGTTTGATCTGCTTCCTAAATTGCCAGGAAAACTATATGTCATGAAGATTTCCTATTACTGTTTTCTTGGGTGTGGACTATTGCATTCCACTTGCTCTCAAAAAAATTATATCACATATCATACATATATATGTAAACTCTTTTGAATAGTAACATTTATTTAATATCTTAATAAAATATTTTCAAGATTTTTTGGCTTTCTATGTTTTATTACATTCCTGTGTGCTAACATATTTTCCCTTTTATAAATGCAAATCTATCATATTAAATCAATCTTAAAAATTTCTTCAAAAGTGAGAATTATCCCCACGAGTACCTAGAATATGCCTCACATTGCCCTTATGATCTGTCTGACTCTATGCATTGCATATAAGAGACACTTCATAAATGCAGGCTGGATTTTTAACTATGAATAATCATTTTAATAAATGTAAAAATATCATGGAGAGTCTACAGTATATGAGAAAATACAAAGATAATCCAATAACAAGAATATATAGTTCCAAGAATCCTGAGGAAGACTGAAGGGAAGCATGAAATCGATCTGCCTTAAAGTTTCCAAACTGTCTTGAGATCAACCGGCATCCACTATTCACTTTGTGCCTTGCTCTGCATCTGTAATTTACAAACATTATCTAAGCTCCTGTTATAACACAAACAACTTTTTATTAGCAAAGTGCCAAGAGGTGAGGAGAGGAAAGGATGGCAAGGCCTTACCCACACAGACACATAGGTTCATAAAGCAGAACTCTGAAGAGTCTAATAACCTAACAATGTATGGAGAAAAGCAAAGTTAGACTTTTCCAAAGTAAGGGCAGAATTACATCAAAGACTCCAAAGGGCACTGCTATTTCTACATTGCCAGTTCTTGTGGGCCTCTTTTTTCTCATTACTGAGCATAATTTCCTACAGCTAATATCATCTAAGCACTTCAAGCACTATTTATTTCTAGTGCAGAATATCCTATTTTTAGCTATTTTACACACACACACACACACACACACACACACACACACACACACACACATCCATATCCTAGGGTCACTTAAATACTCACTAGGTATTTCAGAAGCTGTGGGAGCCACCAGGGAGACCACAGATAACCAGGACCACATATTTCACAATAGAAGACAACCAATCAACAGTAAACAAGGTCATTGTAGTTCAAAGAGGGGGTGTGGCTGCATGGGAGACAGGCTATTAGTCACGAGGAACCAGAAAAAAACCTCTTTGGAGGTGACGTCTGCAACAGACAAATCCACCACTAGGGGTCTATAAGGAGGAAATAGGCCTGGCATGAAATGAGTAGAACCAAGGAAAAGCTTGGAGCAAGACAGACAGTGGCCAACTCACAGTGGACTGTGACTAGTAACCTAAATAAAACCATTCCACCCCCAAACTGGTTTTACTCAATGTTTCATCATAGCGACAGAAAGTAACTAGAACAGGGTAGATTCTTATTCTAAGTCACATGAGAAAACACTGAAGGCTTGAGGCTAACATAAATAAATAAATAACATTTAAAAGGTCATTCTCGTTATATGTTGCAAATCGGCCATTAATGGAAATAATGGAGCAGGGAGCCTGAAATTGAGAGCCGTGCAGGAGCCAGGAGAGGTAGTGGTGACTTGTTCTAGGTAGTGGCAGTGGTGGGGGTTCATAGATTCCTAACGCAAACTGGAGGAAGCCCAGAGGCTGTCGTGGACAGGATGCAGAAGAGTAGGAAAGACAGGAATCAAAGATCAGAACTGCATTTCCGCTTTTCTGTGCCTTCAAGTTGCCACCCATGAATGTGAGAGCAATTTAGTTGCTTGTAGTAAATAGTAATTGTGATATAGCACTGACTTGCTTGCTAATTAATGATCCCAGTTCATAAATTTTAAGAGACATTTTAATCAAATTGCTTAAACAAAATCATTTGTGCTCATAAAATGAATCAGATAGCTGATGTCCCTTTTTATATTTTGATGCTAGAATTAATTAGTCACTGAGCAATTGTTCTTTGCACTTGTGGACAAAGTCTCCAAAGTAAAGCCCCATTATGGCTCAGAGCCCTTTTCTTAGTTAATTTGCTGCGCCTCTACAGGGTCCTGAAATAAATTTTTATTTGACTTGCTGACACTTTCCATCTTTCCAATGTTAGCCTAAGGAGGTTCATTCTAGCTTACTGTCATTCTTATACTTAGCTGCACCTAGTGTGATAGTCCATACATAAACATGTACATATACACAACATCACACATTTTTTGAAACCAGGCTTCATGTCTATATATATGTTTTAATTACTTCTGATTTTAACCTGAGCTACGAATAGCATTTGAAATTAAAATATTTGCCCTATTTCTGTTATTTCAAAAATTAACAAGAATGAAAATTATATTTGTCTATGGAAATGGATGCTAACTATATGCCTGGTGAGAAGCAACTGTGCATTGCCCTATGAGTGGCTCTGTTTTATAGCTAGTTATGCTTCTTATTGAGTATGTACTTCTTTATAAGCATTAAAATGGCTGCAGAATGGCTAAAGAGCATTAGGGAGAGAAGGGGAGATAGAAGGGAATGGAAAGACAAAGGATGATGGATCCTTTCCTGGAGCTTAGAGGTCTACTGAGAGAAGGAAGATCACCACAGGCATCATGTCGAAAACTGAGCCTGCCAGAATAATGATATTCTGAAACCTCACCACACCTTGCAAGGTTTGAAAAATGCTGGGATAAGCAGCCTTTTCTTTCAACCTCCACAGTCCAATGGTCTCCCAGAATTTATGACCACCCTATTTGGAGTTCGTTCCCAATTCCTGGATTTGATCAAACTCAGGCTCAGTTTACTTCAGTAGAACACTCCAGTTGGGTTAGCAGAGCCTGTGTTCCTCATCTGCAAGACTACACAACTGTCTTTGGATTTATCATACTTGTATTTCATATAGGATTTCTTATATTACGGTTGTCAAATTCTCCTTTACACTAGTTGCAACGTCTTACCATTTTCCTCATTAATTAAAGAGTTAAATAAGATCTAAGGTATGTTCATTAAGTATTTCTACAATCTGGATTACATTTCTCAAAATATTTATGTTTGAATTCATTTTATTTCTTTTCACAAACTACAAGGGAAATTTAAGTCTGACTTGTTTTTGAAAAGGTCAAAAGTTAGGAAGTATAAGTAACTGAGGATTTTCAGTAAATCAACATAAACTTTAAAAGGCTGATTTGACAAAGGTAACTTGCTCTCAGGAATGATTGGGAAGGGCAAGGTTTCTGAACAAAATTTTTTAGTCAACCACTCCTACCAGAATGATGAAATCCTAGCCAGGCAGTGTAGCACAGGCCTAGAACCCCAGTACTCAGACTGGAAACCTGGGAAAACTGCCTCACGGTCAAGGTCAGGCCCGTCTACAGAGCAAAGTGCCAAAGCAAACACATAAGAGAAAGCTTTGACATCTGTCTCAAGACAGGTGAATCTGAAGGGCACAGTGTGACCTCACTTGGGAACCTAAGGAGGTGGCTCATAGATGCTGAGGGCATGGTGACCTCCAGGCTAAGGAAGAGGTGGGGGACGCTGGTCAGGGACGACAGTTCAGTGAGATGAAAGGAGGAAGTTCTGAGAGCTGCTGTACAGCAGACGACACAACCAGTAACTACACACCTGAGGCTGCCCTTAGCGTGGACATAAGCTGCTCCCTCCAAAGCTATGAGGTGATGGATCTACTTGTTAGCTTGATCTGACCACTCCACAGAGTGTACAAATATCATGCATCGTGTTGCAGCCCATTTAAAAAAAAAAAAAAATCAAAAGGTTAAAAAGGAGTGAGCAATGAGCACACTTGTATTTTGCTTTTTTTTTTTTTTTTTTTAAAGGTACTGGCTACATTTATTTCCAGTTAACAACTGAAGTATGAACCAACTGCTGGCATACACTGGGATTTTTCTACATGCTACACATCAAGTAAAACAGAAATTATTTATCCGTAACATATTAATGATAGCCAAGTGAAAGGAGGGAAGGGGGGAAATGCCAGGAGGGCTTTGTGATTAGGTTAAAAGCATCCATTGAAAACAAAAAGCAAGGTATTTCGGGGGGAGGGGTCCCCTCCATTTGGAACATATACCATTGCTCTTTCTTGCCTTATCCCTCAAAGCAATTTTTCTAACAGTCCATTCACTTCAGCCATAATGTTGTTTTTTTAGGTTTTAGACGATGTTAGTGCCAGGCTTTCTGGCTTCGTAGGATTCGGAGGCCGATTCAATTATAGTAGCTGCTGTTTCCTTCCTCAACACTCTCCGTGTCAGACAAAATGAGATTCAGTAAGGTGAACGGTGTACATTTTTACACATGGCCAACAATGACATTTCATGGTAATTCCAAACACTTGCATTCTCTGCTCATGAGATGCACAATATTAATGATTTATTCATTTGTTTTATCCAATTACAAATGCATAAGAATGATTTACACATGAGTTCAAATTCCCAGCTGCCTGAAAGTTTAAAGGATTAAAAATAAAATGAGGTTAAAATGAATGAATCTACAGCCTGCCACCAAATGATTCTCATGCCTAGAGATGGAATGTTTAAAATCACAATACTTAAAAACAAATCCTATTCAAATTATGGTTATAATCATATAACCTTAAACAACAATTCTAAATGAAATGTTTTCTAGCTCTATGGTTCCCACCCTACCAGCCTCAAAGAGATGGCAGGGAGAAAGAAAGCCAGCAGGAACACTGGGGAGGGGGGGGTCAATCTGAAGGCTTCTGATTTTAAAATAAACCTTTCAACAAAAATTCTGTTATTTTCATTGATTTGTGTTTTATAAAATACTTACTTCTTTCAAGGACAAATTATGATGTACACAAACTCAAAGTCTGAACAGCATAACTGTGATTCTGAAGCTCACGCTATGGAGCATCAACAGGTTGACATAACATCTGCTCTTCAGTTTTTCACCCAAGTTGCTATGGTAACCAAAATATGTGGGATATGTTTCCTAAATCTAACTGATTATTTCAAGTAAATAAAATTATATCATATCAGCTTACTAACAACAAATAATATTATTACTACAAACCTATATTTATCATTTTTATATACTAGTGGATCACATGATTATATTTAACTAGGCATTTATACATCTTGATTTTTTTCCCCTAGAATTCACATTTAAAAAAATAGTAAGGTATTTTTTTCCCCTAATTTGATTGTGCTATCTTGATTTAAAAACAAAGTAAGAGGCCCATGTGGTGGTGCTCACCTTTAACTCCAGCACTGGGGAGTCAGAGGTAGGAAGACAGATCTCTGAGTTTGAGGCCAGCCTGATCTATATAGCAAGTTCCCAAGATAGCCAGGACTACACAAAGAGACCTTATCTCAAAAACAAAAAGCAAACAAACAAACAAAACCAAGAAAGAAAGTAGTTTGTTCTCTGAACAAAATGCTATGCCAAATTCCTCCAGAATAAAGTGAGTGGACAAGTTAGGATATCACAACTTACAATGTCTCCCCAACCCTGGCCATTCCATTTCAACTGCTGTTCCAACAACCCTCCTATCTCTGTTCACATATTAGCTGTCTACCTGAGCATGAATTGTTTTTTCCAGAGTATACTTTGAAGTCTTAGCACCCATTCTGTACATATTTGGGGACAGAGTCTACAAGAAGGTAATTAAGAATAAATGAGGTCAGAAGTATGGGATCCTTATCCAATAGGACTAGTGTCTTTACAAAGAGAGACTCCAGAGAGCTTCACCTCCTGTCCCCCTCCTTCACTGGAGAATACGTGTGAGGAGGGTGTGGGTGGAAGAGTATGTGGGAAGATGAGGGTGTGGATGTGGGTGGATGAAGATATAGGTGGATGAGTATATGGGAAGATGAGGGTGTGGGTGGATGAAGGTGTGGTTGTCTCTGCTGTTCAATCGACCTACGGCACAGTAAGCAATAGTGATTCAACATTTGTTGGACATGTAAAACATTTAAAATATCTTTAGCAAGAAATATATTTTATAATGGCATGCAAAGAATCTAATAAAACAGACTTAAAGAATCTAATAAAACAGACTTATAATCCTTAGCACATGGAAATTAAAAATCGAAGTTAACAACATTTATGTTCCTACCACAGAACAACAGCAAGGTCTTGCTTTCTTGGTTTTCCCCCAAACATCTGACCCAAGGCAGGCTCTGTCCTCCCTCTATTATGCACAGAGGACCTTTGCTGTGAATAAATCCTGCCCTTCACCTTGTTCTCTACTCAGTTCCTAGATGAACTTGTCAATGTCATCACTTCTACTGCCTCTGGAGGGCAACCCTGAGGCACTGTGCCTGCCATAAACCAGTTTGACCGCCAGTGCTCTATAACTTAGAGATGTGTCAGACTATCCAGATGTCAGGGGACAGAAGCCATTAGTAAGATTCAACCTTGTGCACATTTTAGGAAAAACAAAAACAAAAACAAAAAACATCCCAATTATGTTAACAATTATGTTAACAATGTTGTCTTGCTGGGTGGTGATGGCCCATGCCTTTAGTCTCAGCACTCAGGAGGCAGGCTGATCTCTGAGTTCAGGCCAGTCTGGTCTACACAGCAAGTTCCAGGACAGCCAAGGCTGTTACACAGTGAAACTCTGTCTCAAAAAACTAAAACAAGGAAGGGAGGGAGGGAGGGAGGGAGGGAGGGAGGGAGGGAGGAAGGAAGGAAGGAAGGAAGGAAGGAAGGAAGGAAGGAAGGAAGGAAAAGAATGCAGTCTCCAGTAGTGTGTGGGCGCACATCTTCCATACAGGGCTGCTTTCTTCCATTACAGAAGCCAGACAGGAGAGCAGCACATTCCAATCTTTATGACTGTGTGTTCTAATTAACAGCATACCCTTGTACTAACTATCATTCTCACTTCAACCACTGAATTATTCCCAATGTTGTAGTAGAGTTTTATTGCTTTCAAATTGAATTTAATCACTTGGGGGGAAAATATAAGAAATTTACCTGCAGTTTTCAAATTAAATTTCTGTACTGGGATGGTTTATTTTTAGGAAAAAAAAAAAAAAAAAAGACTTCCCCTGTTTCCCCTGTTTTCCTTCCTCGGTGACTCCCAAATAACACTTGTTTCTCCATCCATGGTCCCCTGCTCTCTCATCAACTCCTCACCGTTTCATAGATCTCCCTAAAGCATATCTTTTTTACCTGTCTAAAGATCCTCAGTGATTTTCGATGAAATGACAACTTCAGAATTTATGGGAGGCTTCAAATCGCGGCTGGTTAGCATAACTCGCTATCTAGTTTAAACAAGTCGCATAGTTTAGAACTGCACTGAGTTAAAATGGAAAGAACTTGTGTATGTCACAACTTCGGAGAGAAGCCAGGGCCTCTAAGGTCCTTGCTGGCCCTCAATATAATCAATTCTGGCAAAACACATGCACTACCCTGTTTAGGTGAGTGATATTATTGATTACATCAGGTAAACATCATTATTTTTGCTGTTTTTCCTTCATGTTAAGATCTCAGTAAGGTTTGATTCAGATAATTTAACAGGTGCTAATTAACTATCATTTGTGCCTCTCAAACTTCACATGCTAAAATCATGATACCCATGTAATAGTCTGATAAAATGAGGCCCTTTGAGGTGTGATCAGGTGGTAAAAGTCAATCCCAAAGGGATTAGTGCCTTACTAAAAGATGCTATATTCCTATCTTAGTGACACGTGCCTGTAGTCCCAACACTGACTGGGGAAAGTGAGGTAGGAGACCACCTTCAGCTCCAGCGTGAGACTCTGACAAAAAAATACAAAGATAAATAAACAATGGATGGGTGGGTGGGTGGACAGACTGACAGACGGACAGACTGCAAAGACCTCACCTCTTAGTTCATTATGTAAGGTTGTACTAGGAGGGATCCATCTATGAACTGGAAACTGGATCCTTACAAGACACCAAGTGTGTTCTAAGATTTCCCAGTTTCTGAGTTTAGAAACAAATTCCCAATGCTTCTAAGTCACTCAGAGATGGAACTATAGCTCAGGTGGTAGAGTTTCTGCCCAGCATGCAGGAAGCCTGCACTGTGTCCCAGCACTTCACAAAGCCAGGCGGAGCAGCACAGGGTCTGCACTCTCTGCACTCAGAGTTCAAGCTCAGCCTAGGTTATACGAAAGCCAGCCTAGGCTCATATAGCCTGTCTCAGACAAACAAAACAATTGACAAAGGAGCCAGACATAAGGGAGCACAGCGTTAATCCCAGCACTTGGGAGGCAAAGGCAGAAGCAAGGAGACCTCTGTGAATTCTAGGCTAGGGCTGCACAGTAAGTTCAAAGCTAGCCTGGGACCTTGGCTCAAAAACAAACAAACAAACAAAAAACTAGAGTTAATACCCACTTAACCCAAAACTTACATATAGCTCATTAACAAGACATTTTAAACCAAAAGTTAAGGAAAAACCATATTATGATATGTTGAAAAACTGTTTTCTTTTTCTTTTTTTTTTTTTTTTTTTTTTTTTTTTTTCTCTGAGACGGGGTCTCATGTAGCCCAAGTTGATCTCAAATTCACTGTGGAGCCAGAGATGACCTTGAATTCCTAATTTTCCTCTCTCTACCTCCCAAGCATTGGTGCATCATGACACTCAGTATAAGGGGTTCTAAGGATTTGATCCAGGGTTTTCTGTAAGGTATGCAAGCACTCACACACCAAACTGTATTTCCAGGTCCGCCTAAAGTTTTAAAACATTACCAAATCAGTTACAATTCAAGGACAAAGAGCTAGACCTTCAGATTGAGAAAATTCAGGTGTACATAGCAATTTACTCCCTAAGACTTGTGGGTAGTAAATAGCGCTTTTCCTTTTCAGTCCAACTCTGTGAAAGCCAATAATTATAGTAACCGAGATAACTGCATGCTAAAACTATTTTTTTTTCTATACCAAAAGTAACAGCATTAGCATGGCTAGCTCACCTGTGGTCTGGGCTAGCTCACCTGTGGTATGAGTGTGTCCAAGTGTTCGGCTCGGTTCCCATGAGAAGGGTGTGTCGACAGCCACTCTGGCAACTTCGGGTGGCCATGAAGAGTCTCGGAAAACTCCATCTGCTGCCAAAACACTGAGCTGGCCCTTACGTCCACACATGCCTAAACACGAGAGTTAATAAGACACACGATGAGTTTATTACAACTTTAAAAACTTAACCCGGTCAGGTGTTCAGAGGAGGGAGAATCAAACGAAAAAGGAGGTAGGAGAAAGACAGGAAGAAGGGAAAGAGAAAAGGAAAAATATGTTTACCTTTGTGTCACTACATGTTTTGAAAATCTACCTTTCTATCAACATCTTAATAATACATTCACTACTTAAAAGAATAAAACCTCAAGCTGGGAATTAAACTCAATAGAGTAACGTGCCTAGCACACACTTACTAGGCTCTGGGTTTTATTCCCCAGTATTGCAAAACAGAATGGAGAGAAGAGCCAAGCTCACACAATATAGCATCACAGTAACACAACCCTGACTCCTCAGGATGGTAGCCACGAAAAGCACAAATTAACTTTTCTATTAAAAATAATCTGCACTAAAGAAAACTTTATACCTGATGGTACAATTAGAAAAAATTTAATAAACACACAGAAAATAGTTAATATATATCAATATGTCCAATTTTCTCAACTACATGAATATGATACATTTAGGCTATTCAAAACACACCATATTTTAAAGGATGCACATGGATCTAGACTAGAGGGGGACACAATTCATCACAAACTCATGTCCACACCTTACCATACACTTGAAGAACACTGTGGAAAGCTACTTAAGATCTGTTAATGGCAGTTGCCCTGAGAGTTTAATTCAAGTATTTGACATGAGAAGAAAGAGTTCAATTCTGAACTACATTAAACTGTTTGTAATAAAAACTCTTTCTAAATCCTCCATACAAGGACTTAGAAGTTTTTTAGAAGTCTGTTCAATTTTCTTCACATCTTAAGAACTAGGAAACATGTGTTTGTGTTTCCTATTTTACTTTTGAATAAATTAAGGACAAAATTCTATCAGATTGGCCAAAATGTGAAAGCACAAGCCTTAAATTCTGTGACTGTGATACCTAAAATGCAAGGCAAATGCCACATGTTGTGTTGCCAGTTTTATGTCAACTTGTCGAGGCTAGAGTCATTTTGGAAAAAGGAACCTCAAGTGAGAAAATGTCCCCACCAGACTGGCCTGTAGGCAAGCCTGTGAGATGGTATCTTGGCTGAAGATTAATGTGGAACAAACAAACGCATGCTTTTATGAATTTTTTACCTTACAAAAGTTAGTCAAGGGAGAAGGAAAATATTTACCTGTTCAATCTAAGGAGCATGGTTAAAGGCAATATTTAAAACATTTGATATGCAAGAATAGAGGGGGAAAGTATCCCAGTAGATAGCAAAAAGTATTTCAAAATGAAAGCCTTGCCCCACTATGTGTGACACCAGCTAACTGACCCTCAGGGCACATCAACAGAACTGTAAAGGCCAGGAGACGGTGCTTCCCTGAGGCACAGACATCAATAGAGACGCACAAGGACAACCAGGAGAAAGAGAAACCTTGGGCCTGGATGTAACTCAGCTAGTGGAGTTACATTTGGTCCCCAGAGCCTCATAAACTCGACACAGTGGCCATACTCTTGGGAAGCTGACACACGAGTATCAGAAGCTCAAGGTCATCCTTAGTTACACACTGAATTTGAGGCTAGCCAGGGCTACATGGCACCCTATGTTTAAAAAAAAAAGAAACAAAGGCTATCCGAGCACTTTGAAAAGAAACTGACAGGTTACAATGGACACTAGCCCTACCCTGCCCTACCCTACCTTATCCTACCTTGTCCCCACAAAATGAAGATCTGCAAAATGGTTACAATTGAATTCAGAATAACACTCATAAAGAATTAAGTTAAGTGAACTATAATAAAAGTAAAAAATTCAGTTAAAATTTTAGAAAAAAAAAAACCTAGAAAATCCATTAGTGATAATCTTTAAAATAAAAAAGAAATATTGGAAACTAAAAGTACAAAAATAACAGTAATAATAATAATACCCTGTGTTAGCGTCCTGGCACACTTTGGCCCCACCCCTTTGTGAGCCTAGCAGAGTGCTTTACCCCTGTACCCATGGCAAGCAGTACCACAGCTCTGTGCACAGCCACAACAGGTCCCTCTGAGAGACAAGCTCCCATACTCCCACTCTCTTTCCCTCTGGAGAAGCAGACAGGTCTTTGTCTCTGTCTCTCTCTTCCCCTCTCATCTCTTCCTTCCCTTCTCCCATTCCCTTCCCTTCCCCCAATAAAACTTCCCAAATAACCTGTCTGCGTGGCGTGCTTGTCCCTCGCCCACCATGGAATTCACCAAGGCCCCCCCTGTGCCACATATCATAACACACCAACTCTACTGGACCAAAATAAATAAATAGAAAGAAAGAAAGAAAGAAAGAAAGAAAGAAAGAAAGAAAGAAAGAAAGAACATTTGAAATTATGCAAAGGAACAAAAAGAATGAAAAAGAAAATCTATGACATCTGTGTAAATTATGGGACATCACCAAGACAGGAAGCTCTTACACCATGGGAGCTGTAGAAAGGAGAAGAAGGACCAGAAAGAGAGTTAAGGAAATGATGCTGGGAACTTCTGGATGCCATCACTCAGGTGCAGATGTCATCAGTCAAATTCAACCAAAAGGAGAGCATACCATGACACATAATACTCAAACTCAAAGGAAGAAGTGTTCTGAGAGTAACAAGAGACACCTCTCTTTAAAACAGCTGCAAGGCTGCTTTAACACTATCAGGAGACTTCTTGCAGAAACCCTGCAGCCAGCAGAGAGGGGGGATGATGATACAGTCAAGTGATAAAGTAAAAAACTGCCAATCAAAAAGGCTTTTTCCTGCAAAGTCGTCTTTCATAAATGAGGGAGAAATGAAAACTTGAGTAGAATGGGGTATGCACCTAAAATGCCCACATATGAGGTGGAGAGGGGAAGACCCTGCCTCAAAGGCAAAAAGAGTTCACAACCACCTCGATTTACAGGAATTTCAAAGAAAACTATTTAGACCAAAATATAAATACAAATAGCTGTTGAGTAATAATACAAAACAAACAAAAATCAAAATCAGTGCTGCATATAAACCAAACCATCTTCAGGGCACTCCAGGATTATAACACTGGTGTTAGGGCAATCTCTTATCCTTAATGAGGGTTCAAAGATCTAATTAATAACAACTATAGGCAAAAATAACAACAAGGGTCTAAATCAAAAACTGATGCAAGTACTAACACAACCTGGAAAATGTAAGCAATGCAGTCAATATTAGCTGATTAACAGCTTGAAGCAAGCTGTTACATGCATATAGTGTTCTATTTAAGCCTCACAGTAAGAAAGCAAAACTGTTAGTTAATATACAGAGCAGAAATAGGAAGGATCCCAAGCGAACTGTTACATAGAACCATACAACCTCAAGAAAGACAGCAAGGCAGGAAGGAATTAAAGAGTGGCATAAGACATCCAGAAAATAACAAAACAGCCATAAAAATCGTATTTAAATTTATTTATCTTATTTGTATATGTGTTGTCTGCATGTATGTATAGGTATTGAGTGCATGGTAACAAGGAATTACACAAGAGGTTGTCAGCCACCGTTTGGATGTTAACAACTAACCAAGGTTGTATGTAAGAGCAACTAGTGTTATTATCCACTGAGCCATCTCTCCAGCCCAATAATTAGTTCCACCCTACCATTTATTACCTTAGATGTGACAGATTTCAAATCTCCAATTCATGAAATGAAGCCACTAAATGGTTATTTAGAAAAACATCCCAACTGTATGCTCCTGAACAAGAGATTTACTTCATTTTACAGACTCACAAACCAAAACAGAGCAGGGCAGCACAACTTCCAACAGACAAAATATAAAAAGAGATACAGAAGGACATTATACAGTGACAAACAGGTCAATTCATCAAGCAGAATGAAACAGTTGTAAAAATATATGAATCCCACATCAAAGCACCACTAAATATATAAAATATCAAAGGATCTAAAGACAGAAACAAACTGAAATATAATAGCAATGCCATCTCTAATACCCAGTGCTTTCGATAATAAACAGATGATTCAGATGGAAAATTAGTAAGAAAACACTGGATTTGACTATCACTCTAGTCCAAATGTACCCAACAGACACATGGAGCACAAGATCCAACAGCAACAGAATACACACCACCCCTCTCCACACACCACCCCTCCCCACACACCACCCATCCCCACACACCACTCCTCCCCACACACCACCCCTCCCCACACACCACTCCTCCCCACACACCACCCCTCCCCACACACCACTCCTCCCCACACACCACCCCTCCCCACACACCACTCCTCCCCACACACCACCCCTCCCCACACACCACTCCTCCCCACACACCACCCCTCCCCACACACCACCCCTCCCCACACACCACCCCTCCCCACACACCACCCCTCCCCACACACCACTCCTCCCCACACACCACCCCTCCCCACACACCACCCCTCCCCACTCACCACCCCTCCCCACACACCACTCCTCCCCACACATGCTCTCTCCAGTGCAGGGCACACGTTAGGGCACAAAATAAAGCTCAGCCATCTTAGATGGAGACTGCATCTGTACACAACTGAGTGCGCAGCAAATGAAACAGGAAACAATATCTGTATGCAATTATACCCAACAAGAGATCAATGTCCAAAATATACAAGGAGAACTTACAACCCAAAACAAAATACACTTAAGTAAAAATGGGCAAAAGACTCAAGAACCTCAAAAACAGCATACAATGGGTACATGAAAAAAAAAAAAGGTCAACATTACACCTCCAAGAAATGCACCTCAGAAACACATGAGATATCATCTCACACCTGTTGGGAGGCTACTACAAAAAATAACAATATGAAAAAATGCAACTCTTACACTCTGTTCGTGGGAATGGAAAATGAGGTAGCCTCTATGTAAGAGCACAGAGAGTGCTCAAAAAACATGAAGAATGGAACCCATGTGACTCAGCAATCCTATCATGCAGTGTTTACCTAAAAGTCAAATAGGATCTTGAAGATTAACTAGCATGCCCCATTC